TGATCTCAATAAAGGTCGAAACGTTGGCACGATAAAGAAAATGTTTTTCTGAAACCTACATCACACCAGACCGCATCTCACGATTTCTAAATAAACATGTAGAATAAATATAATTAAAAAAACAAAAACATAAAACCATTTTTAGATACGCTCGTAATAAAACAACATTAATCACAGATTGGTATCAAAAACCAAGAAACACAGATCGCTGCCTCAACTTTACATCTCACCATCCTCTTCGTACAATAATAAACACGGCCAAAGGGTTACTTCACAGAATTATTACCCTAAGCCATGAAGGACATCGTTGCAGAACGATTGGGACAAATGACTGGTTTTATATGACGACTGGGACGAAAGGTGAACACGATTGAGACGATAATACTAGCGAATGGAGACATGATTGGGACGTTTGGAAATTTTGTTGCAATATGAGCATTTGTAATATAAACAATACATTATTTAGCTGGTAAAGGTCTCAGATAAAGAAATTAGGTGCGGTGAAAATTGCACTTCGTCAATGTGAATGAATGAAATGTAACGCATTAATATTATTGTTTAGGGATGGTTAGGGCCTTGACAAACTAGCTCCTACAAGACTAACATGATTAAGATCCACAACCCAACAAAAGTTACACATCCGTCTAGACACACATGAAATTGAAGCGGTTAGTAAAAGGAAGGAAAATCAATATTAGGACCTAGGCAATATCCACATTGGAAACCTGTGACTAGGCCGAGTGTGATATTAAACCCAAATTACCTAACAGGAAAGCCAGACGCGATTAAATGCAGAGACAGGCAACTGCAGCGTTACCAAAGTTGTGTACACGGATGGGTCAAAGTCAGAAAAAGGAACGGGCGCAGCAATAATGACAACAGAAGGCACATTATCCCATAAATGGAAGCTTCCGGAAATAACCACCATCTATTCGGCAGAGAGCATTGCCATACTACAAGCTCTTAAGTGTCTAGCCGCAGAAAATCTAACACACGACGACGCAGCCATCCTATCAGACAGCCTTAGCGTACTAACGGCTTTAGAACAGGTTAAAACTGACAAAAAACCCACTAATAGAGGAAATACTAGGGGTACTTGCCGAATTGAGGAAAAGCGAAGAAGTTCACTTCATATGGGTCAAAGCACACGATATAAATAAATACAACGAGGAAGTAGACCTATTGGTAAAAGAAAGATGCTGCAAAAAATGGGAGCCCATTTAAATTGATAAGAACATGCGATATAAAAGCACATATCAATAAAACAGAATTGGCAAAAAGAATACGTCGAATCCAAACGAATTAAAGGGAAATACTATGCAAGAATCCAACCCGCCATTCCCTACAAGTCATGGTTCCACAGACTTACTAGACCAAGGAACTTTTTCATTACCATTATCAGACTTAAACTTAACCACAACCAACTTCAGCACCATCTAGCAAAAATATCCTTCATAGAAAACTCAAATTGCGACTGTGACAGAGAAACATATGCCGACCCGGAACATGTCATATTAACATGTAGAGAGGAATTATATGAGAATTTAAGAAAGCACGGAGTAGCGTCCCAACAAATATAGCAACTATATTGAGCAACACTAAAAATATTCCAGTATTTGACAGTTTAATGACCTTTATAAAAAAGAATGACATCAAAATATAAAAGGCAACAACACGTAGTGAAAGAAACATAGTAAATTCTATAGACCGCGGCGACGCCGAAGGAAAACGCATGGTCGATGCATTGATGCAAAGCCAAGAAAAAAAATTATTGTATTGTTGTTGCAGTTCTTTGACCCGCTTTTGTTAGGGGCGCGGTAAATCTGGGAAGTTTTCTTTCATTATAGGCGGTTTTATTTAACTCAAAAGAAATATTGAATGAGGATTTTCTGAATTAGATTCAATATTGGTAAGGAATTATTCTTTTTATGTAAGGTCCTGGTTGAGATGAAAAAGTTGGTGTCTTAAGATTAACTGGTCATAGCGTCAATTAAGACGGCAGATAGGGTTTGGTGCATCTGTCATCGCTGATGACCCTATGACAAACGCATTGGCTTAGCAATATTTAACGAACAGCTGTTAGTTAATTAAGGTTTTTAGTTGAGATAAAAAAGTAAGTGTCACGAGCGTGAGGTTGAGATGGGAAGTTGGTGTCCGAGTGGATCGAAGTCACGATAGCTCAAGTGGTAGAGCAGCGGCGTATTTAGCCGAAGGTCATGGGTTCGAATCCCGCTAGTGACACTGACTTTTGAAAAAACCAAGCAAAATCCTTCAGCACTTGCTACCCACCATTTTGAACACAAATACAATTTCGACTTCAACAATCCAAAAATATTACACACAGAAAAAAAAATAAACGTAACTTTTTAGAAATTGTTTACATCAACAGAGATAAACACAGCATCAATTACAGAACTAAACTTAAACTTGGGGGGACCACGGTAGCTGAGTGGTTAGCATGAGAGACTCCCACGCCGCGGTCGTGGGTTCGATTCCCACCGTCGCCTCTGGCCGTTTTTTCCCGATAACCCCCAATTTGAACAATATATATGTAAGAATTTGTCATGGCTAATATGCAAAGATCATAAGGCAAAAAAAAAAAAAAAAAACTTCAACTCAGTCGCAGCTACGCCAATATCATTAATCAAATTCAATATCGACAACATATATTTGTTAAATGTAAACAATTAAATGTAAATCCCAGGCCCTGAATATGATTTCAATAAAGGTCGAAACGTGCACGATAAAAAAATATTTTTCTGCAACCTACATCACACCAGACCGCATCTCACGATTTCCGAATAATCATTTTAAAAAATAGAGAAAAGAAGGCCAAAAATCCTAGATGAACATTCCACCTATGATAACGTAGAAAAATAGGCAGACCCTAGAAGAAGTCGGGGTATTTTAAAGATTCGGGCGAAAACCAAATCCTAATTAATTAAAATCATGATTTAATTATAATTAAACGCGCTACACTTGTCCAAGGAACGCTGCGTCATCAGTCAATTATTGAGAATCTGGTAAAAGGTGGACGACCGTAATGATTAGCGAATGACTTTCAGTTCAGTTATATTTCTAATTCGGTCGTTCCTCATCATCCTGATCTGCTTCGCATAAAAAAATGTATTAAAAACGATAAAATTAATCATGATCTTTTACATTATGAACTAGAAAGTTTGGGATTCTCTTCTCTGGCTCTCTAATTAATGAAAGCAAAATAGAATACAAATTCACTGACAGAGCAAAAAATTCCACCCACTTGTAATATAATTTGATTTGTATTGCCATTCTCAAATGTATCAGAGATATTTCAAATTATTGGTTATTTCAACCTTTTACAATTTTATTCCATAAAATCACTCGTGTCTCATAAAATGTTAATCCTACTGTAAAATTCATTGCACCAATGCAAATAGCATTGAAAAAACTATTAGATTAATTTTTTTTAAATTGTAGCAAGTAAAGTTGCATGAGTTTTCAAAGTTCTTGTCTAAAGCGGCCCATACACGCTCAATATTATTGCGCAATATTTAGGTTTGTGCAATATAGTTGATCGTGTGTAGTCGAAATTGAAAGGTTGTGCAATATATTTTGCTAAATTCAAATCCTTGAAAATATATTGTGCAAACGGGAAAAGGTTGTGCCGTCTGTAGGCAATATTGCGCAATATCCCATCAGTATCAACACGTGGTAGAGTACGCGTCGTCATGGCTGCCAAGGAAGCTGATAGGCAATTCATTTTCGAATTGATTGACGTTTATCGTGGCCTTCCAGCTCTGTGGGATATGAAGCGTAAAGATTATACTAATCGTGCGAAGAAGGGGGAGCAGTATGAAGTGTTGTTAGAAAAATACCGCGAAAAATATCCGGAGGCTGATAAACAAGAAGTAGTGAAAAAAATTAATTCTTTGAGAACAAACTTCCGAAAAGAACTACAACGGATTCGTGATGCGGAGAAAAGTGGTGCAGGTGCGGAGGATATGGAGCCTTTGCTTTGGTATTTCGAAGAAATGAGGTTTCTACAAATTCAGGAGCTCTTCTTCTTTTTCGCACTGGCACCCACAGCGATAATCACACAACACAAATCACTATCACTCAAAATGACTTCACTACATGAAATTCTGGTTGGAACTAATTGCACAATATATTGCCTTGAAGGTTATACGTCTGTGCTCGCGATTGTGCAATATATTGCACAACCATCAATATTGCCTGCATACGATACAATTTATTGCACAAATCAAAATATTGCGCAATAATATTGAGCAGTGTAGGGCCTCCGTCAAAATACTGTGCAACCCACATTGTGCAATAATATTGAGCGTATATGGACCCCTTAAAGTTTATAAGATGTTTTGTCTGTCAGATTTTGCAGAACCTAGAAAATATTGAATTAATGCTAGGTGATGGTGTGTGAGGAGGGGAACCTATGCTGAACCAACAATCGGTCCGTCTTCACTCGCGAGTTTGAACAGTTCAACAAGTGAAGCCGGACCCAATAAGTGACCCAATGCCGGTTCAGCATGGATTCCCCTCTTCAACAACAACACCTAGCATCAATTCAATATTTTCTTGGTTTTGCAAAATCTAACAGATATGGCGCCGACCGCTTAAAGGTCAGTCATCACTTATCGTTATCACTAAAGTAAAACAAACATTTAGTTGCTAAAAATTTGATTTTCCTGTATCAAACTGGTAAAAAAAAATCATTAAGATTTTGAAACTTCTATTACAAAGAAACAAAAAGCTTCAACATGATTACCATTTTATGAGAAATAAGGGACTACATGAAATAAAATTGTGAAAAGTTGAAGTCAGGCTTTGAACAGTTTGAACCTCCTAAACCTTCTTCTTGAAGTATTGACGTCTGTTCACGGGACAACCTGTATATGTTACATTACCTACTGAAAATGGCTCATTATATCGAGGAGAAATAGCTCGAAATGAAATTGGTGGGAGGTTTATTTTCTTAAATATCTTTATTTCTTTGTTTGAGTTTATTTCTTTTTCTGCATAGATTCCATTTCTTTGATGCGTTCCGCTTCAAGTTCGAGGGCCCTCTGTTTCTTCCTACCGATGGGCGTCTTCGAGTACCAGTTGAGGAACTCTTCCTCTTCTTCCCTGTAGACCGGTTCACGTTTGCAGAGGACGTTTATAATCTCTGCGTGCGTCAGTTGGTGCATCCTGAGCTGGAGGACGCGTTTGCAAGTCAGCACCTGTAAAAAAATTGTAAATTTGACGTTTCCGTCGAAACGGGCAGTTCAAGTACGGACGTCTTTGATGGCGGCTAGTATGCTCCCGACTGTGTATCCGTCGGCGAGTCTCGCGAGGGACGAAGTGTTGAACTGCCTGGACAGCCCGGCGTACTGGAATAGCTGGTCGTTCCAGAGGAGGCTGAGCGAAGCGTAATCCGGTCTGGGCACGAAGATCAGCTTGTGGTACGCTTGGACTAGGAGTTTCTGGTCGCATTCCCACGGAAGCCGGCTCGTACCGATGACCAAGACCTTTAACTCGCACAGTCAAGACTCTTTATCGTCTACAAACTTCAAAATTTACCTGATCGTCCGGCCCGATCCCTTTGACCAGCTTGGCCAGGTCTTTCTTCAGCCTCTTCGGATCCGTCTTGTCCGTCTTCGGCACCTTCTTCATGAAAGTCTTTTCCGCCGAGTCTATGAGGATCACTGAAGGTTGTAGGAGTCTGAAATTGCACGGAAAAATGTAAAAACCAACGTTGGAAGGTCATCTTTTTGATTTCCGTCCCCAGGCCTTTTATAGAATTAAAAACCTTTTACTCACGATTTCGTCTCAATCTGTTTTAATGTACCTTCTAATGCGATGCTAGTAGTGCTAGTATGGCTTCCTAATATAACGCCACGTTTCTCAAATTCTCTTTGTGTAGCCACTTGCAGTAACCATGGTACCTGCTAGGTGTCACCACTAGTTCTTGAATGGTCTCGCACTCCACTCTATAGTCAGAGAAAAGCCATTTCCTATATAAACAAGAACGCTGCCCCACTGACTTCAGACTCGTCTCCCCGACGAGATCTTACTGCACACCTTGAGTCTTGAGACTCATCTACTCGACGAGATATTACCTTGCACCTTGAGACTCGTCTCTCCGACGAGTTCTCAACAATCATTAATGGAGGACCGACAAAGACATCAAGAGTACTCGCAGCATTAGAGTCGAACTCGCCTTCAGAACACAGCCGACTTGACTACTGGCCAACTGCTGCATTAGGCTACGTGCTGCACCAGAGTCCCTTCAATCGCTGCAGAGTCCATCATTCATTTTATCCACGACCCCGGACTCTCTCGGTCACGGAACACACACTGTCCCGGCCGCATCCATCTCTACACCACAGGTCAACACCAGCTCTTGTCAGGGCTACCAAAACTCCCAGTCACTCTTCTTCAGTTCACTTCGGTCTATACACGGGAAAAAATTGTCCATTTTATACCATACCAAATGGAATTTCAAAAAAATTCTTTCTCAGCGGCTATCCGTGTCATTATAGGGATGCACTGTCGAAACCTCAGCCCTTTAGATCCAGCGGTTTGGTCTGACGGTGTCTCAGTCAGTAACGGAATTCTTTTATATAAACTGCTCAAAACGAATAGGGATATTGCCAATTTTGTAGTATTTACTTTCCCTAGATTCTTGTTTAATTTTTATTATAAATTGCATTAAAATTTATTAGGAATTGTTATGTTTTTTACTGAAGGCTGTTAGGCTCTAATTTCATAAAAAAATTCACTCCATAGATGTTGCAACGCTGCACTGAGTTGTTGCAGGTCAACTGGATGCTGATGTTGATCGAAAAGCCTTCTCTGCAACACATCACACATGTGCTCAATTGGATTAAGATCTGGAGTCGATGGGGTCTGGCATGGTCATCCAGAAATCGAATACCCCTGGTTTGAGGGATGCATTACGATAATTTCTCGGGGTAACGGACTGCGGTGAAGTTGCTTTCAACAATGAACTCCAGTTCGTCCTCCGGGGTAAATTCCAGCCCAAACCATTACACATCCTTCTCCAAACTGCACTGAAGAGAGCACGAACTGGGGCATTGTAAGCATCCCCTGTTCTCGGTGGACTCTTAAGCGAATGGTACTATACAGGCTGAAACACGACTCATCAGTTAGCAACAGCATTCCAGTTGGTGTTCTCTTCTAAGAGCTCGCTGCACCATGTTCTTCTGAGTTGCTGGTGGCGAGCTGTTGCTGCAGGTGGTTTCAAAGGCCTTGCCAAAACATCTTGTACTTCATTTAGGGTCTGGCGGGGTCTATTGTAAATGGTTTCGTCTTGCAACAATGACAATATTTCTGTCCTCCCTTAGGGTCATAATGATTATGCACTACCTGGCTGCATTGGCACTACCAGTCTCTCGGAATCGGGCTAAAGCTGAGAAACACCAACTTCCCCTGAGATATCCACTTCCCAGTGACCAATTAATATTGCGATTGGTTCAAGATGATGTCTTTCCATGGTTAAGAGAATAAAATTCTGGGAAAAAGTACTTTCAGGTAGTCACTCCTTGTGAATATAATTATAGTTCGGATGATGACCATCCCAACATAGACTGCTACTCAGATGGTTCACTTATCAAAGGTAGAGTGGTGCAGGAATCTACATACCTAAATTAGGAATCAGCATCTCCTCCCCTCTTGGCAATAACACCTCCGTTTTTCAGGCGTAAATCTGGGCCATTAATCTATGTTGTAGAACACTTATGGAAAATAAAATTAAGGGAAAGGATATTAGAATTTTTTAGAATCAGGCTAGTCTTAGGTCATTACCGAAAGACTTGTCAACCTCAAGACTGGTGGAGGAAACTGTAGATCTTATCAATAGGATCTCTTCCAGTTTTGAGAACAATGTAACCCTTATTTGGATACCAGCACGTACTATGGTAATGAAAAGGCGGATAGCCTGGCCAAAGAAGGCTCTACCTCACTCTATGAGCACAGCGAAGGAGAGTATTAATAACTTAGGCATGAAACAATACCTTAAGGAGTGGAATTTAACCCCCAGACACAGGCAATCGAAGGAGTTTGTCAAGGTGATCAAACCAGCAGAATCGCAGTGGCTATTCTCTATCTCAAGGAAGGGAATTAGGCGGCTGATAGGTATCCTGACGGGACACTGCCCACTGAGAAGACACCTCTCCGTAAAGGGTATTCTACCATATCCCTTTTGCCGTTTTTGCGAAATAAAAGAAGGAACGGCAAGGCTCTACCTCACAGAGTGTGATAGGTATGCTAGGTCCAGATTTGAAATCTTTAAAGGAGCGGACATTACCAAATCTTTGGTCCAAAATCTTGGGGTTTGTGAACAAGCCCAAGAGATTTATGTAGGACACGTGAGCCGACCAAGTCCCCGACTTTTTAGGGATGGGGTACGAGTTTACTCAGGCATTTAACCCCTCGGGTCTTGGTCGCCCACCCTGCGTAATATCTATATAGATTTTCAACCCAACTTCGGAGTTAATCGAATAAACTCGAAGAAAAATCAGTTCACGCTCAATGGAGCAGCATAATAACTCATATATCCTTATTTACATAGTTTCCACGTCACGCGGAAGTTTCAGTCCATTGGCTTTTGATCATCCATGTCTGCCAATTTTCTCTGGATCTCGGTTCAATAAAAGAAAAGATAAAGATTGAAATGGCAAAAAGCTACAAGTGCCTTCCATGTTTTTGACCTACTATGGCATGACCCGATGGTTAAGTCGTTCGCTTTAAAAAATAAATACATGGTACCTTGACACTTTTGAGACCAGATGGAGCAGCATGACGAGGCCGCTTTTCCCGGGGTATTTTCCGACGATGTTGGCCGGAGAAAGGTCGAACAGGGTCGCCCCCGTTTCCGTGCATATGGCGTTGACCAAAAGCCTCTTCCCGCTGCCCTGCGGACCGGCCAAAAGGATGGAACGGACCAACGGCGAATTCTTGTGGGCGTGCGGGCTGCCCAGGGGCAGGATGCAGTACTCAAGGATCACCTATGATTAACATTTAACGATTATTAAACCTTTTATATAAATAATGTTAAAGATACCTGGCGAATGTCGCCTAGAGAAGGCAAAGGATCGAGACCGCGTGATCTCAGCTCGTGGTTAGCGTAGGACCTTTCGCCTAAAAAGCTCGAAATTGACACTTCAGGGTATTTTCTTATGATTCCGTGTGTGACTAACTCCTCGAAGAGGCTTTCCGTCGTACGATCTGGAGTCAGGTCCTTTTCTTTTTTCTTTTTCCCTTTTTTCCCACCTCTTCGGCTTTTTTTCTTGGCAGCCTTTTTCGCCTTCTTGCCTTTCCTAGCTCTGTCCCGGTCCAGAGCGGCCTGGAGCGCCTCTAGCTCGGCTCGAAGTTGGTCGTCGACGATCTGAAAAAAAAAGACTCGGTCAAACTTCGCCGATGCGGAAGGTTCGACTCACTTTTCTCAATTCGGCCTCGACTTCGGCTTTTTTCTCCTTTTTTATGAGGTCGGCGTAGTGTGTCTGCATAGGATTGGCCGCCTCGTCCATCCCTTTCCACCTCTCGTCGTACTCAGAACAGGCGACCATGAGCTCAGCTAAGAAGTTGGACGGTGCCATCTTGAACCCCGGGTCTTCTTCTTCTTCCGGTCTTTTTTTCACTTCTTCCTTCTCCTTCGCGCTCTTCCTTCCCTTGCTTCCCTTTTCTTACAAAAAAACCCGATTTAACTCAAAATTTTAAACTGATCCAAAATACTTACTGCTTTCTTTGGAAGAAGGTGCCGTCGACTTGCTCCTCTCGCTCTCAGCACCCTGCCTGCTGAAAATCAACGCGGAACCTCCTGCTTCCTCGCTCGGCAGATCGGGAAACTTGCCCGTCTGTTCTTTGTACCCCATGAACCAGGCTCTCACCTCGTCGCCCATCTCTTCGATCATGACGGGCCCCTCGTTTTTCTTTATCTGTTAAAATATTGTGAGATAGAGAAATGAACCTGAAGAGATGTCATTTCCGATCGTTCAGATCCACCTGGTCTCGCTTTTTGGTTAAGACGAGTTTGTATAGTTTCCTTCTTCAATTGCCGGATTGAACTAAAACCATGGTGTTATCTAGTGGTGTTAACCATCGCTAACCACATCTAACCCAAACTAGCATGATAACACCATCGCTAGTCATCCTTAAACTATACTAACTCAAACTAATATGAATATAAATCGTATTTGGCCATCCCTTACCAACGCTCACCACCTCTGTCTCTAATCGACCCTAACCAAACTTAACCTAATGGTGTGTAACCATCTCTTCCCATTCCTAATCATCTACCATCTCTCCAAGAGTGTTGAAGATATTACAAACTCACCAGAAATACGGAAAAACGCCCCAATTGTATGTTGTAAAGCGGCTTTAAAAATATTAATTTTCTTACGTTCTCCTTCTCCACCGCCAGGGCTTTCTGATACTCGGTTTCTCTCTCTTCCTGCAATTGCCTCCTGATATTCTTGACTTCTTCGGCCCGTTGTCTCTCTTCTGTCGAAGTGTACGCCCCTGGAAGCATGCCGATGAGGAGCATTTCTTCCATGACCCTCTTCTTTATCTTCCTCCTGGTTTAAAAAGCAAACGGTTGAAAATATAATTTTAGGATTGACGCGAAAATACCTACCTTGTAATGTACCCTCTCCATATTTTCTGGATTTTAAGTGCAGCCCTTTTGCTGTTCTCTTCCAGTTCGTCTTCCTTCGGCTCGGTTTTGATCTTGTCCTTGAGGGACCTGATCTCCTTCATGAACTGGGCCCTAAGCCGGCCCTGGCGCGCCCTCTCGTGGGCCTGGATCAGGCTGATCGCCTTCTCCTCCGTCATTATGATACCCGTCGCGTCGTCCTCATAGAAGCCGAGTTCTCTCATGATTCTGTCGATGGTCTGCCGCCTTTCCTTAATCACCGTTTCCCTTTCTCGTCTGAAATAAGTCGGTACGCAGACTTCCACCTGGGAAATCAACAAAAAAATTGTTTAAGGGGGCTGTAAAGATGTAAGGAAGATATATAACCAAATTGGATGTGATCAGGTTTTTTTTTTGTCTTGCCTCTTGCGGCAGTAACTTTTCCTCGAGCATGATGTCGTCGAAGTAGCTGAATTCCGACATGTCGATGTTGACCAGTTCGTGTTTCAACTCTAGGAACCGACCGATGCTCGCGTCGAGGAGCCTCCTGACCAGGAGTCGCTTCTGCGGTTGTACGATCTGGTCGTAGCACTCGTCAAGCTTGTTCACAGACTGTATGTACTTGAGGTACAAAGTACCGACGACTTTGCGAGCATGGTCGCGGTCACGGGTCGGCTTCGTCGACTGCTGTTCGACGTCGACCTTGGTCGCCTCGTCCAGGATCGCCTGGGCATCGGCCCAGATCTTCTTGTACGTCGTGTGCGACATAAATCAGCCGGCTTGCTGATCGATCTGGGCACTGAAGTTGTCTAGCAACACTACAACCATCACCATGACAACAATATTTCTATTTGTTCTAAACACCAAGCTGATGCCTTCGTGAATCTGTATAATTATTAAAATGTTCCTTGCCCAGAAATACACACATATTTATATTTTGTTAATTACTAAATAGTGGTAAAACATAGCAACACCGACATACTAACAAACGTGCTTTTCTTTTTCAAAATCATCAGCACCCCGAGGCCTAAGGTTCATATACCCGCGTAAAAAACATAAATAAATCAAAAAGTACCTCAAATTAGCGAAATTTAGACTAAAATTAAACTGGACTCAAATTTGAGCTTTAATTTAAATATTGATATATTGATTAAATATTGATACTTTTATCAATTTAGAATTTTACGAAACTTTATAAAACCTGAACTCTTAAGGGCAATATATTTTTCTCTTGCACAATCCACAATAGCCTATGGTATTGTTTCCTGTAATTTATTATGTTAATTGTTAATTTATTCCGGTACTAATAAATGTTTCAATGTTTCTCTAAGACCCTGGACGTAACTATAATCTCACTTCTTAAAATTATTTTACGTAAACCGTATAGATATAATACAAAAAAATTATACAGTGAATTTAAAGTAATGAATCTAAACCAAATCTTTCCTAAAAGTTCATGTCTATATATACAAAAATAATCTTTTTATAGTTACATCAGTGAATAAAACACAAGACACAATTCATTGGCTAAATCTCATTTTTACAATGTAAAGACTACGCATTATTATAATTTTTCATTAAATATGGCATTTGGTTTTTTTCCCCCATTTTTTTTCCCTAATTATAAAATCTATTTGTTTTTCATAGAAATTTTCCATTGAAGAAAGTTTCCATGCTGAATTAAGCAAGAAACAGTTAAGTTCATGCGAGAACTCAATGTTACAGCCAGCAATGCAGCAAAAGGAATATCGTTGAATTATTGTTTGATACTAGTACAATAAGAGAAAACTTTTTTTAAATTAAAAAATTGTTTAATTAAATTAATTATTTATAATCTTTATAAATAAGGTGAATGATTTACAATTTTGATGAAATGAAAAAAGACAACTTGCAATGCTCATAAATAAAAATACAACCATGTTTTTTAAATGAAGAAATAGTTTAATTAATTTATTATTTCTAATCTATATAGATATGGTGAATGATCACTAATTTCGATGGTGAAATAAAAAAAAAATTATTAGCAAGGCTTATAAATAAAGATACAACCATCATCATAGAGTGGAATATTGTTTAATGATTTGATTATAACTTATACAATAAAGAAAACCAGTGTTTTTATTTAAAAATTATGAAATCTATTGGTTTTTCATAGCAATTTTGCATTGAAGAATGTTTTTACCATGTTGGATTAAGTAACAAACTGTTAAATTCATGTGAGAACTCAATGCTATCACCAGCAATGGCAGCAAAGGGAGTATCGTTGAATTATTGTTTGATACTAGTACAGTAAGAGAAAACATGTATTAAACAAATAGTTTAATTTATTTATTTAATTTATTATTTATAATCTATTGCTCTATAATTTTTGATGAAATGAAAAAAGAGAACTAGCAATGCTCATAAATAAAAATACAATTATCATCACTGAGAGGAATGGAATATCATTGAATGATTCCATAATAATTTATAAAGTAAAGAAAAGCAACGTATTATATTTAAAAATTATGAAATTTATCTGTTTTTCATAGCAATTTTGCATTGAAGAATCCTTTTTCCATGCTGAATTAAGCAACAGCAGTTAAGTTCATGCAAGAACTCAATGTTTCAACAAGCAGTGGCAGCAAAGTAAGTATCATTGAATTATTGCTGACCATAGATCAATAAAAGAAAACTTTTTTTTAATTAAGAAAGAGTTTAATTTATTTATTATTTATAATTTATTGTTCTATAATTTTCATGAAATGAAAAAAAGAGAACTAGCAACGTTCATAAATAAAAATACAACCATCATCGGAGAGAGGAATGAAATATCGTTGAATGATTCCCTAATAATTTATACAGTAAAGAAAAGCTACATTGTGAAATCTATTTGTTTTTCATTGCAATTTTCCATTGAAGAATACTTTTTCCATGCTGAATTAAGCAACAAGCAGTTAAGTTCATGCGAGAAGTCAATGTTGCAATGAGCAATGGCAGCAAAAGGAGTATCATTGAATTATTGTTTGATACTAGTACAATAAGAGAAAACTTTTTTTAAATTAAAAAATTGTTTAATTAAATTAATTATTTATAATCTTTATAAATAAGGTGAATGATTTANGAGTATTGTTGAATTATTGCTTGATATTAGTACAATAAGATAAAAAAAAATTTAAATTAAGAAATAATTTATTTATTATTTATTATCTATTGATCTATAATTTTGATGAAATGAAAAAGAGAGCTATCAACGCTCATTAATAAAAATACAATCATCGTTGAATGATTTCATAATAATTTATTACGATAAAGAAAAGCAACCTTTTATATTTAAATATTATGAAATCTATCTGTTTTTCATAGCAGTTTTGCATTGAAGAATTCTTTTTCCATGCTGAATTAAGCAACAAGCAGTTAAATTCATGCTAGAACTCAATGCTATAACAAGCAATGGCAGCAAAGTGAGTATTGTTGAATTATTGTTTGATACTAGTACAATAAGAGAAAAAAATTTATATTACGAAATAATTTTATTTATTTATTATTTATAATCCATTGATGTATAATTTTTGATGAAATGAAAAAAGAGAACTAGCAACGATCATAAATAAAAATACAATCATCGTTGAATGAATCCATAATAATTTATTACGGTAAAGAAAAGCGACCTTTTATATTTAAATATTATGAAATCTGTCTGTTTTTCATAGCAATTTTGCATTGAAGAAAGCTTTTTCCATGCTGAATTAAGCAACAAACAGATAAGTTCATGCGAGAACTCAATGCTACAACAAGCAATGGCAGCAAAATTTGTATCATTGAGTTGATGTTTGATACTAGATGGTATATTAAGAAAAAATATGTTTATTTTCCTGTACAAAGGCTCATTAATCATATTAATTATTTATCGAATCTGTATGAATGCGTTGAATGATCTATGATTTTGATGCTTGTATTAAGTTCATGATCGAACTTAGCAGTTCTGCTACAAGAGGTCGCAAGTGGTGTTGATTACCTTCTGCATGCCGTATTCGAACCTTCTGATGAATCAAAAACATATGAAAACAACAAGTTTTCATTAGATAAACTGGCCTTTTTCGTTTTTAAATCTGAAAAATGCGAGAGTCCGACGATGAGGACTATGTCGTCTATGGAACTCCACTGGAGCCAATTGAAGAAGGTATTTTCAATATTTACTATGCAGTTATAACTGTACAGTTAATTTTTGAAATTTGGATTCAGATGAGGTACCTAGGAAGAAGCCGATATACATACAAGACCAGATAGCGACAGACAAGCAGGGCCGGAGGAGGTTTCACGGCGCGTTCACCGGTGGCTTCTCAGCCGGGTTTTACAACACGGTGGGTACGCCGGAGGGATGGCTACCCGCCGCGTTCAAATCGTCCAGGGAGAAGAAGGCCGATTTGCAGGCGCAAAGGCCGGAGGATTTCATGGATGAGGAGGACACGGATCAGTTTGGCATCGCTCCATCGGTGTTACGTGCTAAGCCGGAGTACAGCGGTTCGGACAGGACGCGCAAGAGAGAACGTGTCACCTTCTCCGAAGGGCCGATACCAGGCGACCCCGTCCTTCACAGCATACTCCGTCCTGCCAAGTCTGTCTTTTCAATCATACAAAAGTCCAATATCGTTAATTTTTTTTTAAAATTTTAAATAGGGAGACAATTGGAGTACAGTTGCTTATGAAAATGGGCTGGAAGCCGGGTCAAGGTATCGGACCTCGTCTTACAAAGCTGCAGAAGAAAAAGCAAAACAAGCAGAATCAGAATAAAGTCTATGGTTGTTACATTCCAGGAAAACCTGATTCAGGTAGCATTTAAATAAGTAAAACTTGTTAATTCGCATTTTATTTTTTTTAAATATATGTATTTATATTTTTTTAAAGACAGCGATGAAGAGATTGACGTGAATCATCTCTTTGCACCGGACGATGTTGAGATGATGTTTGTGAAGCCGAAGACGAACAGGTTCGGCATGGGCTACACCGGCCTCGACAAGAACTTCATGTTGGGCGGCGTTTCAAAGGTGCAGGATACGTTTCGAATGATGGACAACAATAAGAAACTCGCCATCAAAGGACAAGCATTCGGTGTCGGCGCATTTGAAGATGAAGACGCCGACATTTATGCAAGGGATGACATGTCCAATTATGATTTTTCGCTCGAAACGGTCAACTCGCTCAAAGAGAAAAGGCGGAAGGAAAGGAAAGAGAAGAAAATGCTTGCGATCACTTCTGGCGGATTTGGCATCATAGATGGTAAGAAAATTAAATGGTTGACATTCTATGTAATAAAACTACAATAAACCTGTATTCAGAACCTTCTTCCTGCACCTTCCTGAGTCTATACGATTTGTCTGGCTAAGTCTTTGCTGGCTGGGTCCTCCACTTGACTGTGGCTGTTGTTGACTCCTCTTGTTCACTGAGTCCTTAGATCGACTGAGTCCTTAGGTTGACTGGTCTTCACTGACTCCTTAGATCGACTGAGTCCTTAGGTTGACTGGTCTTCACTGACTCCTTAGATCAACTGAGTCCTTGAGTTGACTGGTCTTCACTGAGTCCTTAGATCAACTGAGTCCTTGGGTTGACTGTCTACATTGACTCCTTGATCAACTGAGTCCTTGAGTTGACTGGTCTTCACTGAGTCCTTAGATCAACTGAGTCCTCTCACTGCTGAGACTCCCAGGTGACACCTCTTGTTCACTGTGTGCTCTCATTGGGTCTCTGACTCCTGCTGTCCGAATCTATCCTACTGTCCACTTCTTCCGAGACAGTCAACCCGTACTGCATCGGGCCCATCCAGTCGAGTCTCAGCCACTGCTTTTGACTGACTTCCCTTTCCTAATCATCCCATTTTGTATCAGTTTCTCAATAGGAAAAGCAAAAACAGTTGGGCTTGATCATCACTGCTATCTTGCAAAGGTTGGTCATAGGCAGCTATGCAGGAATTCTGCCTGGCCACAGTTTTCGCAGTAAATAATTCCTCAACTTTCTTTAATTAGAGGGACTGTTCTTACACTAACAGTTGTTGGGGGAAACCTCTTTATTCCTACCGGTTGGGCGGCCAGATTTACAGCACGACCAGTTTGAATTAATAATAGTATTTTCGCCAAATATGAGTTTGATTAGTAGTACTAAATAATGCACTAGATATCATGATAGTTTGAGTCTGAGATGGTTACGAACTATGATTTTATATTTAAAAGCAAAACCAACCACTTAATATTCAGAAATGCCTAACTATCACTAATTATCTCAAACCTTTTCCAACCTAAAACTGTCTGGATAGTGTGCAACCAACCTTAACTGCCAGTAAACATTGATAAACTCGATTAATGACTGAAGATGGCGAGAGGCTGAAATACATCTTCCATGATAGTCTGATAGGGTGGTGATTGGAAACGGCAGAATTAACCTCAGGAGGATTTTTTTTTTTATAAAAAAAATTTTATTTTATATATTACCAACTCCATGGTTCATATCTTCTCTATTGATAGGTTGAAAAATTCCAAGATCTACGTGGTTGAAAACCTTGATTCAATTTAGTAAATTACATGACGTTTCGGGCTCCTGGCCCATCATCAGCAACTGGACTATGCCAATGATACATATATATTATTTTTCCATCCCCTTTATTTGTGGGGAATGTCATCAAAATGATGATCGGATTTCCCCTGGCCAACAAGGGAGGCCGTACAAAGGAAAAAAAAGGGGGTGGAAAACTAACATGTATCATTAGCATAGTCCAGTTACTGATGATGGACCAGGAGCCCGGAACGTCCATGTAATTTACTAAATTGAATAAAGGTTTTCAACCACGGAGATCTTGGAATTTTTTAACCTATCAATAGAGAAGATATGAACCGTGGAGTTGGTAATATATAAAATAAAATGAGTTCATCCCTGGGATACCAAGGAGAAAACAGGAAGTTGTTTTTTTCGTTTGTCCTGCCTCCCTTGTTGGACAGGGGAAATCCAATTAAAGCTAATTATCACTATCTAAAATAGGTGGGACCCACTCGGAGTGAATTTTTAAAACAATCTTGACGACATTTCCCTCAACAAATAAAGAGGGTGGAAAAATAATATATATGTATCATTGGCATAGTCCAGTTGCTGATGATGGGCCGGGAGCCCGTAACGCCTTGTAATTTACTAAATTGAATAAAAGTTTTCAACCATGGAGATCTTGGAATTTTTCAGCCTATCAATATAAAATATTTTTAGGTTTTGTCCTGGCGAAGAAGCCTCCTGTACTTAAGAAATACTTCCCACCGCCGAAACTGCCGCCCGACTACAATGGCGTCCATGCAGTTCGCAAGACTCGGTTCGGCCCCGAGCATAAAAACCTGCCGGTAATTAAAAGTAAACACTTGCTGACGGCTTCCGACAGAGCTGCGATCCTCGAAGATGAAAAACAACAAAAAACAAAGTGCGTTCTTATCCATTCTTTATTAGAGCTTAAGATTGTTTTTTATTCAAAGATCTTCATTTTAGAGACGAGGAAGTCGAAGAGCTACCGCAGCCTGAAGAGGTCGAAGGTCAAACAGAAGACACGGGCTTCCGTCCTTTTATCAGCGACCCGGCAAAACAGGCGCGATACGAGCGGTATCTACATTTTGTCAAAATCGGCGCCAAAGGTTTGTACAAAAATAAAACATATTTTTCCTCCGTGCTCAATGGACGATTGTTTTTAGAGGCTTTTGAAAAGATCCAGCCTAAAGTCATGACCTCGTGGGAGAAAGAAAGGGAGCGGAACGAGTTTGAGCAGGCGTCCAGACTTTACAAGCCGCTTTCAGGTTTGTATAAATTGTGATATACGTAAAAAAATATACATGCAATACATCCTGTGATGTCAAAAGTTGACTTTAGCCTTATAAATACATGTGATAGATCCGTTTAAAGGGTACTTCCAGTTTTTTGTAATTTACTTTATTTTTTGGTGTAGGTATGATGGCTGATAGATTTGCGAGCGCCGAACTTCCCGACGAGTCTCTTGACCCTCTCGCCCCAGTACAAAAGTACACAGGTGGCGTAGACGCTAAACTCGCCGAGGCTGCCAAAGAGAAGAAATTCGGCAAGCTGACGAGATCGAGTTACACCTGGATACCCGTATCGTTGCTCTGCAAACGGATGAACATCGCCGAACCCATGTCCAGGTGAGCGTTCATATATTTTATTGTCGGTTTATTATTAATAATTTTTTTTTTTAGTGCCGGGACGAGCTTGTGTGAAATAGCGGATGAGAAGAATAAAAAGAGAAAAGTCAAGTTCAACGCTTTCGATTTTCTCGCGGACAAAGCGAAGGCGGAGGATTTCTTCAACAACAGGCTCGAAGATCCTGCGAAAGAAGAGAATGTTCACAAAGATCAGACAGAAGAGGAAGGGATAAAAAATGAGACGGGTTTAAATGAGAAACAGCCATTGAATCTACCTCCACCCGATGTAAGGAGGATCGTTCGACTTCCTGGGCTTAAATAAAAAATATTTTTTCTTTTTCAGGTGATCCCTTTTGAAGATCCGGAGAAGAAAATCGATCTGTTTAAGGCGATATTCTGCAGCGATGAAGAAAACGAAGAAGAGGAAGAACCCGAGAGTAACAAAAATGCTCTTAGGAACACATCGCCTCCAAGGGGAATCTTTGCCAATTTGGACCTGGACGCTTTGAAGGCGAAGCCGCAGGCCCTACCGGACGAGCCGACAGCGTCCAATAAGCCTGACCCGCAGCTCCTCTACGGCCCGTCCCTCCCGGCGAAGCCCGTCTTCTTCAAGCCGACCGCATCGCACAAAGATTCTTCCGACTCAGAACCAGATTCTTCTGAAGACGAGTGGGTTGAAAAGGGTAAAGCCGTCAAAGAGAAGAAAGATGAGAAGAAAAAGCACAAAAAGCACAAAAAAGAAAGCAAAAAAGAAAAGCACAAGTCTAAAAAGAAAAGCAGTAAAAAAAAGAGTAAACACTAAGTCATTTATTTAAATGTAAAAAAAAAGTGTAAATATGTACATGAAATATTAATTTAAAATTAAAATGAAATAAAATTTTTAATGTTTTGTCGTGGAAAACCCATTTACCCTAAGCCATTTTGGTTTTGTAGGTAAAAGACACAAGACACAATTGCATAATTTTATTGGATTTTACTTTAGATACAAGAACGGGTTATGAAACCATTTCTGGTACACTTAGTTTGATGAGCCTTGCCCTTTGCGCCGCGCAGATGCAGTCGACTGCAACCAGCTCTTTCACAAGGCCCTCTTCCTTCCTAATGACCGACCTGGCGATGTAGACGGTGTAGCAGACGTGCGAACCGCGCATGGTGCATCTCGACCTTTCGCAGGCACATTCGACGGCGATCAGCTCCGGCGGCCAGACCCGATTGTGGTCGACCACTCTCTTAAGCCTGTAAAAAGAGCACGATTTAAAAATTTAAAAAAAATTATATATAGATTTTACCTGACAGGACAGCGTCCGACAGGGTCTTCATGCGTCTTCATCCATTCAGGTACGTGGAGTGAAGAGAGGTCCTTCGATTCAAGATAGTCATCCTGCATCGGGCAGATCACTTTCATGTTGTGTCCGTCCATCGGTGAACCCCACGGGACGGTGGCGAAACCATTACTTTTTTTACAACCTCTGCCACGGTCACATTTCGTCAACACCAATTTATCACCGAACCTGTGATAAAAGTAATTTAACACGATTTTATAATCAAAAGACCATCCTGGATTAGGATGATACTTCGAGATTGTTTAATTAATAACAAGATATTGTGATTCCGATATGGGTATGGGCGGTTAATGTGGTTAAATTGGAATTTATCGCCTTTGAGGTCTGCCTAGTCTCACTGATTGTATTTTATTCAACTAAGAGAGTAAAGCACCGAGTCTAGAGACGACTTGTGAAAATTTGAGCACTACATTGCTTAAGAAACATAATTTAAACAACTTCAGCCGTCTTTGGGTCCGCCTAGTCTCGCCATTTCTCCACTGTCAAGCTATGAAAGCAAACACGAGGACTAGACACGCCGCGTAAAGGTTTTAGCATGAATATTGTTTAACAAAAATAAAATTCAGTAGCCTTTGGGTCCGCCTAGTCTCGCTGTTTGTCATCCAACTAAAAGAGTAAAGCCCCGTGTCCAGGGAGGACTTATAAAAGTTTGAGCTTTGCACTGGTTAAGAAACATCATTCAAACAACTTCAGTCGCCTTTGGGTCCGCCTAGTCTCGCTATTTGTCTATTATCAAACTATGAAATCAAAAGCACGGGGTCTAGAGACGCCTCGTAAAGGTGTCAGCACGAATATTGTTTAACAAAAATAACAAGCAGTCGCCTATGGGTCCGCCTTGTCTCGCCGCCAGAACCTGAAGCGGTGTGGAAAAGGGTTCAAATCTGGTCAGCTTAGTTTCGCTTTTGATCCTATTTTTAAACATCCGAACAGAAAGATAAAAATACTGTAAGGAACTAAGGGCATTTTTATTTAAAAAAACACGATTCTGTCTTAAAAAAATTACACCACAAATTTCGGCCATGAAGTACTACTGGAAAAGGTGTCAAATCTGGTCCGCTTCGTCTCGCTTTTGATCCTATTTTTAAACATCCGTACAGAAGATAAAAATACTGTAACGAACTAAGGGTATTTTTATTCAAAAAACAACGATTCTATCTTTAAAAAATTGCACCCAAATTTTCGGCCGTGAAGTATTTGAAAAGAGATCAAATCTGGTCCGCTTCGTCTCGCTTTCGTTCTTTTTTTTAAACTTCCGAACAGAAAGACAAACATACTGTAAGGAACTAAGGATATTTTTATTTAAAAAAAAACACGATTCTGTCTTAAAAAAATTACACCACAAATTTCGGCCATGAAGTACTGGAAAAGGGGTCAAATCTGGTCCGCTTCGTCTCGCTTTTGATCGTATTTTTAAACATCCGAACAGAAAGATAAAAATACTGTAAGGAACTAAGGGTATTTTTATTAATAAACCACGATTTTATCTTAACAAAATTGCACCCAAATTTTCGGCCATGAAGTATTTGAAAAGAGATCAAATCTGGTCCGCTTCGTCTCGCTTTTGATCCTATTTTTAAACAACCGAACAGAAAGATAAAAATACTGTAAGGAACTAAGGGTATTTTTATTAATAAACCACGATTCTATCTTCAAAAAATTGCACCTAAAATTTCGGCCATGAAGTACTGGAAAGGGGTCAAATCTGGTCCGCTTCGTCTCGCTTTCGTTCCTATTTTTAAACATCCGAACAAAAGAGAAAAATGCTTTAAGGAACTAAGGGTATTTAATATTTTTAAAAAAAACCATGATTCTCTCTTAAAAAAATTACACCACAAATTTCGGCCATGAAGTACTGGAAAATGTGTCAAATCTGGTCCGCTTCATCTCGCTTTTGATCCTATTTTTAAACATCCGAATAGAAAGATAAAAATGCTTTAAGGAGGGTATTTTATATTCAAATAACCACGATTCTGATTTTAAAAAAGTACATCACAGTTTTCGTCGATGAAGTTACTGGAAAAGGGGCCAAATCTGGTCCGCTTCGTCTCGCTTTTGATCCTATTTTTAAACTGACATATAGAATACGTGAGTGCTATAAGGATCGTATCATGCTTACTATGCCTTAAACGAAGATTGAACTAAAGGTTTAAAAGCCAACTCCGGTCCGCTTAGTCTCGCTGTTTGCCCCCACTTATTGATAAGAGTTTTAAGTTTCTTAAAATGCTCGTTGTGATTTAAAGCTTCAATGTAAACTTTGAGATTATCTGTCTAGGAAAAAAAAACTTCGGCAGAACTTGAAGCAGTGTTAAACTGGGAAACTAGTCAAATCTGGCCCGCTGAGTCTCGCTGTGGATCTATTTTTAAGGTACAAATATATTCCCAAGAAGGCTAATATGCAATAAACAATAATTCCGTTTAAAAAAAAAAACCTCAAAAGAACATGACTTGACAGGTATTCAAAATAACGTGGGCCGCCGGTCTCTTTCGTCGTCCAGTTTTCAACAGACACATGAAAATAAACACATTCATTAAGATCCAAATGATGGTTGATATTCCTTCAACGCAAATTTTACCTTAAAAAAAAAAAATGACAAGAACAATTGGCGCTGAAGGACTTGAAAATTAGTTAAATCTGGTCCGTCTAGTCTTGCTTTCCTTTATCTATAAACTGACAAACAGAAGCACAAGATTCTGTAAACAACGAATGATAAAATAAACAGAGATTATCTTAAACAAAAGAAACTAAACGATTTTTGACGCAGAAGGACTTGAAATGTGGTCTGTACCATGATAAATCTGGTCCGCCCAGTCTCGCTCTTCTACATACGTCATAGATTGAAAATCGACAAAATGCGTTTTTACCTCAAAATGCGGTAAGGTATGAGCTCTTTTCCTTCGTAACTCCTTCCGGAGGACCAGCCGACGAGCAAGAGGAGAAGGACCGTCTCGCTTTTCATCCCTGATTCTTTCTGACCCCTGTCCGCTTGGCATCGTCCTTTTTATCCCTTCGGCCTCCCAGACATCAAAAGTCCACATCAAAAACGTCTTTTCCGCGAACCGCTAAGCGGATTTCCATCTGCGGATACTCGGAAAAAATAGCCATTGCGGCGATCAAAAAAAAAAAAAATCCTTTTCATCGTCCAAATCCCCGATAAAACGGCTCAAATCTCGTCGATCGATCCTCCAAATACATAAAAAGACGCTAAAATTTCACCGGATCCTCCTTTGAATATTAAACTCTTGTAATTGAATTAGCGAGGCTCCACGGCGCCGACGGCCGCTTCGGAAAAGCTATTAAAGTGAAACAGAAACGAAAGAAAACATGAATTACAACGGGTCATAAGCACTTCTGGAAAATATAACTCTCCAGATAATAACACTTCATAGCCGGGATAAACTAATATCCGACCATTGGCAAAATGTTTAAAATGTCAGAGTTGAACGGCTTAAATAAGCAGCAGTTCATCTATAATTCACAAATCCTTACAGGCTGGCTGCTTTAGCCATAATTAAATTATTTACTAACTTTTCACAAATTTTAACAGCCCTAGTTAGTGATAAGTTTATCTTTTAACTTAATTTTGTTTATGCTCCATGACTAAATTCCTTTTCAAAAAATTTTTAAGAAGAAAAATTTAAAACTTAAACATTTTGTACCCTTCAACACCCTGTATAGTAATAAGTAATGTCACTTAAAAAAAGCATTAGTTTAATTCAAGCCTTTGTTGTATTATAAAAACAGCAAGGGGCTTAATTATGAGCATTACATGACCCTCGAACCAAAGAAAACCGTTTTATTCATGCAGCACCCAGTATCAATGAAAACTAATGTCGGAATTAAAAAATATGTTTTTTTTTTAAATTTTAGCTTTTGTTCTATCTTAAAAACAGTAAAGGAGTTAATTATGAGCCCCATATGGCTCTCGACATCAAGAAGAACTTTTTTTCATGCAGCACCATAAATGCAAAACAACAAAAATATTTTTTTTTTGTATTCCAGCTTTTGTTGTATCATAAAAACAGCAAGGGGTTTAATTATGAGCACCTATGGCTTTCGACATCAAGAAGAACCTTTTTTCATGTAGCACCATAAATGCAAAACGATAAAACTATTGGTAGAATTGAACAAAATATGTTTTTTTATTTTCGTTTTTGTTGTATCGTAAAAACAGCAAGGGGCTTAATTATGAGCATTACATGACTCTCGAACCAAAAAAATCCTTCTATTCATGCAACATCCAGTATCGATGAAAACTATCGTCAGAATAAAAAAAAAAAAAAAAATAAGAAAAAACAGCAAGGGCTTAATTATGAGCATTACATGACCCTCGAACCAAAAAAAAAATCCTTTTATTCATGCAACATCCAGTATCGATGTAAACTAACGTCGGAATAAAAAAAAAGTCACATTTTAATTTAAGCCTTTGTTCTTTCATAAAAACAGCAATGCGTTAATTTCGAATACTATACATCAAACCTAATGTCGAAATTGAAAAGATTTTTTTTTATTCCAGCTTTTGTTCTATCATAAAAACAACAAGGGGTTTAATTATGAGCTCCTACGGGTTTCGACATCAAGAAGATCATTTTTTTATGTAGCACCATAAATGCAAAACATCAAAACTATTGTTAGAATTGAACAAAATATTTTGTTTTTGTATTCCAACTTTTGTTGTATCATAAAAACAGCAAGGGGTTTAATTATGAGCACCTACGGCTTTCGACATCAAGAAGATCATTTTTTTATGTAGCACGATAAATGCAAAACATCAAAACTATTGTTAGAATTGAACAAAATATTTTTTTTTGTATTCCAGCTTTTGTTGTATCATAAAAACAGCAAGTGGCTTAATTATGAGCACCTATGGCTTTCGACATCAAGAAGAACATTTTTTTATGTAGCACCATAAATGCAAAACAACAAAACTATTGGTAGAATTGAATAACATATGTTTTTTTATTCTCGTTTTTGTTGTATCGTAAAAACAGCAGGGGGCTTAATTCTGAGCATTACATGACCTTTGACCCATGAAGAATTTTTTTTATTTATGCAGTACCCTATATACATCAAAACTAATGTCGGAATTGAAAAAAATATGTTTGTGTTTTTTTAATTCCAGCTTTTTCATCTATAAAAAAACAGCAAGGGGTTAATTACGAGCACCACACGACCCTCGACCCAAAGTATATCCTTTTTATACATGCAACACCCAGTACAGATGAAAACTAAAGTCGGAATTTAAAAAAAGTCATATTTTAATTCAAGCCTTTGTTCATCATAAATACAGCAATGGGCTTAATTATGAGCACCATATAATCCTCGATATGAAGAAGAAATGTTTTATTAATGAAGCACAATAAATACAATACTTCAAAACTAATGTCGGAATTGAAAAAATATGGTTGTTTTTTAATTCCAGCTTTTCTTCTATAAAAAAAATGTTTTTTTATTATCGTTTTTGTTGTATGGTAAAAACAGTAGGGGGCTTAATTCTGGGCATTACATGACCCCTTGACCCATGAAGGATTTTTTTATTTAAGCAGTACCCGGTATACATCAAAACTAATGTCGGAATTGAAAAAAATACGTTTGTTTTTTAATTCCAGCTTTTTCATCTATAAAAAAACAGCAGGGGGCTTAATTCTGAGCATTACATGACCCTTGTCCCATGAAGAATTTTTTTATTTATGCAGTACCTTGTATAGATGAAAACTAACGTCGGAATTTTAAAAAAAGTCATATTTTCATTCAAGGCTTTGCCCGAAAGATCCATTTTATTTATGTAGTAACCTGTATAGATCAAAATAATATCGGAATTGAAAAAAAGTAAAATGATTAGATTTTGTTCTAAACTTTTGGAAAACTTGTTTTTTTTAATGTTTTTTTCTTGGAGCTCGGTGTTTCCTTTGTCGATCAGACAAAATTGTCATTTTTTAACGATTAAGTGAGATATTAGGATTAACTGGATAAAATTAGGGTTGTATAATTGTAATGATCGAAACCGTGCGGACCCACACTCATCCACGTTCCCTCTCATTTTACATTTTCTAGAAATTTTTTTGAAAAAACACAATTCAGTACATTAGGCACAATTTACGACAAAATTCGAAACCGTGCGGACCCACGGATCGCCCGTGTAAAATCGTACATTTCGAGCATTAAAACCTTCCTCTAACATGCAATAAATTATGTTTTAATTTTTTTTTCTCAACTCACAGCCAGGAAGAATTTCAGCGGTATGTATCCGCTTAACCACGCTTTTCCCTATGTCGTCAGATAAAATTGTCATTTTTGTATGCGATAGATTTTTTTACGAGGGTTTGCAACCTATGTTTCAAACTATTTTTATGTAGAGGACTATTTTAATTTTTTAATTGTTTATTGGTTGACAAACTGAACCATTTAGCTCAGGCTTTTAAGGCAATTTGACCATACAAAATTGCGCCAGGCTGATAAGATACGTTTAATTTTTCTTTGTAGGCAATTTAAGATTTTTTTAAAATAAAATTGCTGTTTTTGAAAAATATTTTTAAACGATTTTTATTTCTGATAAAATACTAAATAATATTTAATGATTTCTGGAATTTTGATGCTTTGTAGATTTTATTAGTGTCGTATTTTCAAAAGTGGTGCCTGGCAATTCAGTGAAGTTTTTTTAGCACATTTTCAGCCATGTTAATATTTTTAACTTTAGGAGGTAAAATATGCATGTATTCAATTCATTTATAAAGAAAAAAGTCGTGAGTAACAGGTTTTTAAGTGAAATTTGGAAAAGATAGAATTATAATAAGCCATGAGAAAGCTAAAGCTTTCTGAACTAATTACTAGATCCAAGATTAAATTCAAATTAGATCTAAAACAAAAACCTTAAAAAAAATTCAATAAATAAAAGCAAAAGCCCAAGTTTTTTTACAACTTTGACCTGTTTCAGTGTAGTTTAATTTATTTTATATTCGAATAGCACAGGAATACGGATAAATTTAGTTAACCAACATTTAATCTAGTTTATTTGTTTAATATCGTTTAAATATTAGTGATTAATAATTAATGTTTAAATTTGTTAAGTTTAATTTATTATACGATACCGAGAGTTTGAATTTAATCGACTGTTATGAAAAATTATTAGTTATCGTCTTCTGGATAATAATTTCTTAAACGAACGTTGCGTAATTGTTCAGGTTTTGTTGAATAAGTTTTTCTTTTGGAATAATTTGAAAATTAATTGTATTGGTACGAAGTTAATTAATGTTTTTCCCCTTTGGAGGTGTCGGGTAAATTATGTATGGCCGTTACATTTATTAAGGATTCAATTGTCCTTCGGGGTGGCTCTTTGATCTCGACGGGCAGCAAAGGTTCAACGGAATTAATTTGAACGCATTCACCTATCTCTTCGTATTATTTCTCCTATTTTCTCAATACTGGAAAAACATGTGCCTGAAGAACGATTGGGAACGGCGAGACTACGCGGACCCAAATATATCAAGCTTTTCTCGGCTAAGACAAGAAGAAAATCTAACGACAGAAAACAATCAACATTTTTGTTTTTTTCCCTCCTAACTGCGAAATTCGACAGTAGTTTCGAGCTGTATGTAAAAAAGATTATACTTCATATACTTGAAAACCCGTGATGATTCAGGATAGAGCGAGACTGCGCGGACCCAAATGGATAAGTTTTTTCCGGCTAAGGCAAGAAGAAAATCTAGCGACAGTAAACAATCAGCATTTTTGTTTTTTCCCTTCTAACTGCGCAATTGCAAGAGTAGTTTCGAGCTGTATATGCAGGGATGCATGTACAACAGATTATAGTTCATATACTTGAAAACCCGCGATGGTTCAGGATAGAGCGAGACTTCGCGGACCCAAGTAGATCAAACTTTTCTTGGCTAAGACTAGAAGAAAATCTGACGACAGTAAACCATCAACATTCTTTTTTATCCCTCCTAACTGCGAAATTGCGACAGTAGTTTCGAGCTGTATACAGGACTG